TGGGAATCGCCGGCATAATGGGGGCCAGCATCGGTACTGATAACGACCAATTTGGTGGCAACAGGGTCCTTCGACCACCCGGGTGTGTCAGATTGGAGAGCGGCGAACAAAGCACCGAACTGATTCTCGGGGGCATCTGCGCCTCCGTAAGACACGATGTTACCGTAAGCAGCAATCACGTCGTCGACGTTAGTTGATAGGCTGGCATCGAATCTCTGGCAGTAGTCATCGCGGTTACCCAATGGGTAAACGGGCTTATCCTTGAAGGACACAACGCCAAACCTTGAATCAGGATGCTCAGCTAAAATTCCTTGCGTCAGTAAACTCAGTTGGGTGTTCTTCATCGACTCAATGTTATCGCTGAAAGAGTCGGTAGCATCTTGCAATATTAGGACGTCCAGGGGAAAAGAACAGTCTTCGGAGGTACGTTTATCGAAGTAACCTCTGGGCACCGCAGCCCGATTCATACCCGGGCGCTTCGGCTCCATGTGCTCGACCGGGCCCACCTCCGGCAATTTCTCCCAGATTGCAGGTGGCTCATATGTAGAATTTTGCTGGTCTGTACAGTCCACCTCACAAGAGGCCAAAATTATCGATATGGTAGTGAGAGACCTCATTCGATGTGTTTACTTCAAATAGTTTGGAAACGCACCGTGGATGCTAAGAGACGTAAAGTCTCCACCATGCCTGTTGGACCGCAAGTGGTTTAGTTGGTAGTGTTTTTAGTGGTCACAAAACCCCAATAACGAAAACGACCAAAATTCGAGGGAGAGAAGCTGCGACCAAAATTCGAGTGGGTAGCAATAATCACCAGAACGGGACCTGACAATATGACAACATCGGAAAACCCCGAGGGCGTGTAGCGGCGGCTCTTTCGCAGTTAATAGATGGCCCACTGGATTCCGTACAGTCCAAGTCTGGAACGCAATAGTCGGTTCTTGACAGGGGGGGGGGGGGTCATCGCGCTTAGTGCCTGTGAGAGCGCCATCTGTTCTTGTATCCACCCTTTGTTGGTTCTCGGTCGCTGGAAGTCTTGCATCCACCCATACGCTGCACCATCGGGAAGGCCGCCGGCGAGGGCCTAGTTCTGCGAGCGCCCAGAACCTAGTAGAGTACTATGCCGCCGTTGAGTACTATGCCACAGTAGAGTGCCATGTTTGGCGGTGTCGTTGACGTTCTCGACACCGCCAAATCCGGTAGCAGAGTGTTGGCTGGATTCGATGTCTTCATCAGTCTTTCGTTCACAATCGCCGACGGGTGCGGATCCAACGCAACGACCAACACCCAAGCATCCCTTCATGTTGACTCTCCTTCAAAAAATGATGGAGTAGACCCACCCACCCTGTCGCCAGTGATTGACAGCCCACACACAAATCTATAGCACACAAATCTATAGCACACAAATCTATATTAAAACATACAACCAAAACAGTGACTAAACAAATCTAAATCATTTTAAACGGGTGAGTGTAAATGGGTGGTATTCACGCAACCGGAGCGTTCTCAATATCAAGATGGAGCTTGCTAGGTTTGTGCTGTAGTTCGATTATCACCTCCGGGCAACAAGTGCAATCTTCACATGGGCATGCACACTCTCCTGCGGTTGTGGCCGGTGGCAATGTGGCGGGGGGAGTTGTGGTAGCGGGAGTAGTTGTCGGAGCAGGGGTGGTTTCGTGTATACATTCTATGTCTTCAATCGTTGCGATAATAGCCGCAAGTCTCGACCAGAAATCGCTACTGTCCGGCGCTTGAGGAGCTACGAATGCATCCTTTTGATCGATGTATTGATTGAATTTAATCCAACTCTTCGAGGGCCATCCATTGTTCCAGTCACCGTCATACACAAGGGAGGCTACATAAGCCCCCGTACTAGCGATCAAGTTCTTCACCTGCTCCGGGGAGGGATAGTATTCCTGAAGGCACTGCTCTGCAGCATTTCCTTCCTGGAAGACACCACCGAAGGGCCGCATACCCATGTCCTCGGTATGGGAATCGCCAGCATAATGGGGGCCGGCATCCGTACTGATAACGACCAATTTGGTGGCAACAGGGTCCTTCGACCACCCGGGTGTGTCAGATTGGAGAGCAGCGAACAAAGCACCGAACTGATTCTCGGGGGCATCTGCGCCTCCGTAAGACACGATGTTACCGTAAGCAGCAATCACGTCGTCGACGTTAGTTGATAGGCTGGCATCGAATCTCTGGCAGTAGTCATCGCGGTTACCCAATGGGTAAACGGGCTTATCCTTGAAGGACACAACGCCAAACCTTGAATCAGGATGCTCAGCTAAAATTCCTTGCGTCAGTAAACTCAGCTGGGTGTTCTTCATCGACTCAATATTATCGCTGAAAGAGTCGGTAGCATCTTGCAATATTAGGACGTCCAGGGGAAAAGAACAGTCTTCGGAGGTACGTTTATCGAAGTAACCTCTAGGCACCGCAGCCCGATTCATACCCGGGCGCTTCGGCTCCATGTGCTCGACCGGGCCCACCTCCGGCAATTTCTCCCAGATTGCAGGTGGCTCATACGTAGAATTTTGCTGGTCTGTACAGTCCACCTCACAAGAGGCCAAAATTATCGATATGGTAGTGAGAGACCTCATTCGATGTGTTTACTTCAAATAGTTTGGAAACGCACCGTGGATGCTAAGAGACGTAAAGTCTCTATCAACTGCCGTTTCCGACAGGCTGGCAGCGGTGGTCACAAACCCTACAAGCTGCGCTCACAAAACGCGGCTCAGTTGAGGTGACCGAGTGACAAGGACTCGAGGGTGCGGCGGATCGTTCGTTTTTCGACACGCGCCTCGCGCACGGAGCCAGCGTGGCACATTTCCTGGCCAAAAGAAACTGTACGAAAGCCCGAACGCAGCCAGTTGCCCGGGATGATGGTGGGCTAGGCAAGGCTACATGACATCGGGCGTTGACGACTGGCATTTATGGCAATTACGGACGCCAGTCGACGTTACAAGCGACCTTACTTGGTTCAACAAAA